GACCTTGTCAGCCAATACAATTTGTCATTGAGTCAAATTCTGACTTACGTTTTTCATACTAATTGTTAGGCCATTATTTATACTCTGAATTGACGACGGATTTTCCCGTATTTCCCGTCATGACAAGGAGCACACGGCGGGTGTGATCGGTAGGCAGGGGATGCTCCCTCCTTCATGGCACCTGATCCCACCTCTAAATGTTTTGGAGGTCTGTGTTTGCTCTGTTCCTATTTAGTATTGTTTTATGGACTTTTGAGTTTGAATACTGTTCGTTATCTCCATATATTTCATTTGCAAAATCAAGAACTCTCATTGATAATCTTATAAATATTTTGAAAAATATATAACTAATTTCATTACATACCTCGTTCTCTCACAGACAAGAGATTAAAACAGTAAGTTGAAAAAAAAGTTGTTTATCCATCTAGACCGATCCCATTACTTCATTATTATTACAGACATGCGATTGTCAACGACGCATAAATGAATTTTGCTATAGTTTACGGTCGTACGAATCTGTTATTGAAAATGGAAATGTCGCCATCTGCAACCGGTACCACGGAATAAATAAGTCTATAAATGGAAACGTTACTAATTTAAATGAAAATATAATTTTATAAAGGCATTGAGACATAAACGAAATAAAATATTCATTAAAACAATCATGTTGTATAAGAAGATGGAATCTCGGGTACTGCTCTAGTATAAGCTAATAAACGTGTTTTATTAGTTACACAGTCAGTTAGTGACCTAATACGGATTCATACAGGGTGTGAAATGGAAATCCGTATTTCCAGAAGAGTCCCAATACGGATTTCCATTTCACACCCTGTATGAATCCGTATTAGGTCACTAACTGACTGTGTTACGAATTTATCCCGCTGAAGACCTTTTTCAATATAAAAACATATTTGTGCATATTATGAAAGTATTAAGTTTTAATCCAATAACATTGCAACATAAAATATCGTTACGGTAACAAGAAATTTAACTAAACTACCTACGTAAACCGTTTTTTGGCCGCCATTTTTATTTACAAAAGCAACGCTTCGAACGTAATCGCGTGCGCGATTTCATATTACCCCTTGACGGCGACGTAATACGGAAAATATCAGGGCATCATGTGATCAGCCTTTATCCAATCAGCAATCTACAAATTTGTCTGAAGCGGGATAATTATAATTTCATGGAGCAGAATTTATTCAAAACCTTCTACATAAGAAGAAATATACGACATATAGATACATCGACAATGCATCATTAGTTAACAATAAATACTTTCATTCATATGTCCATTCTATTTTCCCAAGTGAATTCAAGTACAGCACATAGTCTGTCAAATATATTTCCTATTCATGTTTTACTTTATACGATTAGAGGCAACTAACAAATAAGTAAATGAAAATGAGATGATTGCAATTTTTACTTAGATAAGTTGTAATACCCTGCTATCACCTGCATTTTGATTTTTATATCTTTCATCTTATTCGATACTCAGGAGTATGCACCGAGTACGAAAAGTTTTTATACCAAATCAGGCTATTGACAGTTAAGTTGGTAATGCAGGAGCAATCTCATATAAAGTCAGCATTTCGTTTGTACAATCGCAGTTACATTGTATATTGACCCTGTAAGTAAATATAAGCTATCACTGGGTCGTCTTTTGGTTGATTTGTTTCATACCGAATATAAGACCTTTGTTTTTGCACTGAAATGACTATAAAATGTAACGTTTTCATTATGGATTCAAAGGGTTCCATTCGGTTGTGATCGGTCAATAGGGGATGCTTACATCTCTTAGACACATGATCCTCACCTCTGGAGTTCCACTGGTCTGTCTTTTATGCCCTCTTAAAAAAGCATTATCTATAGAACTCTTAGATCGAACACTGTTCGTTATCTTCCCCATTTTCATCAATCTGAGTCCTACATAGAGATATTATCATTATGTAGCTGTAAATATTGTTAAAATGTCTAGCTCAATTGTCACAAAGATCTTGGAAATAAAAAATCATCAATATTTGATTATAAATAAATACATGTATATGCATTTCTTTGTCTGTACATGTAATTTTTTGAGAGGTAAAACAACCTTAATGAAGCAGTCCAAAAACACAAAACCAGTGAAATACAACGATGGAAAAACACAAAATTGAAATATGGACGATTAATTTCATATTTCTTTTATGTTTTGAAATGTACATCATGTTATGTACATGTACCCGATAAATCGTTTTTAAAATGGATGTCTACGATCATTATTTTAAAATAAAATACATGTATATTTTTTAATACAAATCATACAGAATTGAATATTTAAAAAATTAGCGCATTCATTAATTCACATTTCAGGTGTTGGAACCAATATTTCATATTTTATCTCCCGACAATCGCCTATGCACCTTATCATTTAATTCATTGATTTACTCTTCAATGAAAAGCAGCTACATCCCTCGACGAGGTTGAGAGAATATTGTTCTGTCAGAAATTGGAAATAAATGATGCACAATAATACCGGGAAATGTCTTCCAATTATTGACCACTTTTTGTGCTTGTAATGTCATTCGTGTACAGTTCATGACCAATAATCACAAGCAAAAGATATTCTTGTATTAAATATCGGAGAGCTTCATGTTTGTTAAATACAAGATTATGCAAACATTTTGTGTGCTGCACTGTCAAAGGTCCTTTTTTCTCAATTACAAAAATATTTTATATTTTGTTGTAACTATTTTTAATGCAAATGTTAAGTCAATAGCAGTGATATTATAGGGTAATGGAATGGGTATGAGGGAAATAGAAAATTTATGGTTCCCCGAGGGAAATAGTTTCCAGCCGAGGGGCACCATAAATTTGCTATTTCTCGAGTTCCCAATCCATAACTGTTTATTATACCAAAACAATCATAGGCAAAATCTTTATTCTTTTTACCAGATATATATTACATCAAAAAAAAAAAAAAACAAACAAAAAAAAAAACAAAAAAAAACACAAAAGAGGAATAATCACAAATGCATATAACATAAGAATAGAAATAACCATTGTAAATATATTATTGACAATACGTCGTCGATATATCTAAATGTCAAGTTGAAGTCCACAGCAAGTGTTTTATTCTTTTCACGTATAAGATTTTGGACAAATTTTGTTTCAATTGAATACAAAAATAGGTCAGCCAATAACGGGCCGCAGTTGGTAACCATGGGAATTCCAATAGATTGTTAGAAGACCAGGAATCCAAAAACCGCATAGATATTGTCAATCAGAAACTTAAGCATTCTTTTAATATTTACTTCAGAGTGCTTGTGTGTACAGTGAATCTTTATTAACAAAATAATTTTGCAATGAAATGCAAATGACCAATGACAAGGTAAGTAAATTTACGAGTTCCATTTTTATTGAAAAAGCAGCGGTCAATAATATCAAAAAGCCTGGATTTTAATTTATCATGGGGAATGATTGTATATAAAGTTGAATAGTGGTAAAGTTTAAGCTGTTGATTTTGGATTTTAATTTGCCCAAAAGTTCCCAAAACTATCCACATCTGATTTACACCACTTCTTGAATATATTGTTTCACATTACTGTTGAAGTTTCTGCTTCGCTACTGTTAATATTTTAGTGAGGAGTAAAGAAAGAGGCTTTGTTGAACATTTCTGGACCCCAATTTGTATCTTTGAAAGGATTTGGTTTTCAAAGTTTTGGTATCTATATAGATATGGTAATTCAGATTCATGTGGGTTGTTGGGAATATTAAAAATATTCAAAACAGACATATGATTTTGAAGAATTTCCTCCTTAGAAAGGGAAGAATGAGTATAAGGTGGATTATCACCTGTAGAAATAAATCACAGTTCCTCTAAAATGCAATTTAGATAATAAGCCTTCCAAACAAAGATAATGTTGTTACCTGCTTTGTCAGCAGGGACCAGTACATACTGATCGTGCAATCTATCTAATTCTTTTTTCACTTCTGAATTTCTGTAAACAGAAGGATAGCTGATTTTCAAATTGTCTCTCAATCGCCTAAAGCGAGATTTCACGTACATCTGTTACATTTATTCCATTCTGACAAAATGTCAAGGTCTCTTGTTTTTTCAGGTTTAATCCATCGCCTGGCGTAATCTTTTACATGTACAATGTAAGGTATTTACAAGTTTGGAAGCATATTTGAAGGAAATATGGTTGAATACAAGACTGAACCCTTTTGTAATTAAGAATACTGCCTATATTAACCGCGGCAATTCCTTTGCTGGCATAAACGGGTTGTTTTAGCGCATTTTTTTCTGTAAAACGCTGCAGTTTAAAAAGCCTATAATTTGCAGTATCCATTATCTCAGATCCGAGCCTGTATTCTGATGCCGAGGAATCATAAATGGACTTTTCTTGACCTTTAAAATTTCAAGAAGACTATTTATAGGTTACAAAGGGACAGAGTTCAGTTTGGTACGAATATGATGTAGACCTAACTGTTGATTTACATAAGGTAGTAATGAATCAAAAGAGACATCGTCATCACATTTACATTGTTATACTTTGAACTGGAAAGATTTCTAGTGTCACGGTTACGGCCTGCAGAACGGCTACACATGACATTGAAATAACCTAAGTTACGACTGCAGTGTTATGAATAGATAAATACATGTATCTAAAATCATATTAGAACAGTTTTGTCGGGTTAATAATAAAAAGAAACTCAGTAATCATCACATACTGACAAAAAAGCAAGGCCTCTTACTCACTGATAGATTGAATGATTTGACTGTTGAATCAGACACCAAAGAATTTTGATAACGCAAAGGATATGACATTACAGTAAAATTGTAATAAAGTTTATTTACATGTATACTCATTTTAAACTTTAGCTATATGAAATATTACATTGACAGAAGGTGATTATGTAACATTTATAATGGTTTTTTTTTTATTTTTCTTGATCAATCATTATTTTATTTAAAGTAAACCATAAATAAGGTAACAATAAATAGACAATGTAAGACGTAATATTTCTTTATTTCATTTTTCTTTATTTACTGGTGCTGGACAAAGAATAAAGCGCGCACTGAATCTTTAAACAATGGTTCAACATCTATCGAAGCACCGACTGAATTGTTCTTGACACTCTACTAGACAACGGTCAATGTCTCTGATGGGCGGTCTGCAGGAAAGGGTACACCTGATATGATCCCGATTACAGTTGTCCACACACTCAATGAATGAAATTCGCTGAGAGCTGGTGGCAGCAAAACACGCAAGGACCGTGAAAAAAATCAAAGTTCTCATCCTGGAAGAGTAGCTGGAAAATGCAATAGAAATTTATTGTAAGAAAGGGGTTAACGAGGATTGACAGGAAAGTTCCCAAACCAAATTAATCTTTGTTCTACTAGTTTCTAGAACTTGGAAATGAGCATATAATAATTTGTAAAATATTTATTTTGTTGATGAGTGAAATTCCTTTCCATTTGATAGGATTAATTAATGTTACTTAGTTTAAATTTTTAACCATTATGCAATGACATTGGCTTTTGACTCAGTTTAACAGTAACTGTTATAGGTTCAGATCTTCAGGAAACGTACAAACAAGTACAGCCAACTCCGGAGATAACGAAATTCAGGAGACCATACAAATTATTTCAATATATCCAATTTCGAAATAAGCGAAATTAATCGACCAACATGAAGCCGCCATTTTTAAAAGTTCCAGCTTTTACCTTTGAAATAAAGTTTGAAAGAAAATTTAACTTGAAAACGTTTCTATAAAATTCAGTTAAAATTTTCTAATTTATTCAAAATTATCTTATAATTAGCTTTACATGAAGCTTTTAATAAAATGATAAACAAAGAAACAGAAAAAAAACACGACATAAACACAAACAAACTAAACAAGTATTATTAATATTCTATACATGGGTGAGTACTTCATTTGATTACTACTGTTAAATCTTCCAAACTTGTTGTAGAGGGCAAATTTTCGTTAATTGTTTAAAAATTAGAGGCTCGCCAGACGTAATTTCGTATACCTATCAAAATTTACAAAAAGGAATATCAATTCTTGGAGGATATACTGTAAACGTATTACATTTAGCGGTGTATTCTATTTAGCGATTTTGGCGGAAATCAGAGTCAGCTAATTCAAGTACATCACTAAATGTCCTGTATATTAACAATTATAACTAGCGCATTCAGACTGCGCTAAATCAAAGCTACGCTAACTTGTTGAAAACTGAATTTCCGCCAAATATCGTACACGCCAAATGTAATACATTTACAGTATACTAGCGGATGAAGGGTGCCTAATTTCACAAAATTAAGCCACCGCGAAATCTAATGATTCCATGGTATTCATATTTTTTTCCAAAAATATTTCATAAATACTTGATCAAATAAATTACACGATCTCTTTACATACCTCGTTCTTTCACAAACAAATAAATAAAGTATTTGTTTCATAAACGGCCTTTTTATCCGAATGAAACCGATCCCATTACGTCATTATTATTACAAGACATGTGATTGTCATCTACGCATTTGTGAATTATGTAATATTTTACAAAAAATAAAACCTGTTAAGGGCAATGACAATTAGTTGTCGTCTGCAATGGTACATCAAGATGAATTGGTTTTTAAAATCAAATTGTCCTTTATTCAGACGAAAATATAATTTTATAAATACATAAAGAAACAAACAATAAATAATATTCATTCAAATCATCCTGTATAAGATGGAATAAAATGAACGTGGCAAAAAGTGATGCCTAAAGCCACCTCTTACACCCACGTGTATCCTTGTAATTATTTAAAGAGTTACCGTTTGTTTCCTTTACCTAGCCTTTTAGGTGTAATGGAAGTATTTCAGTTGAGGTTCAAATTAAGACTCGCGCAAAATAATTCCTGAATTTCCCCTCATCCTGATTCGGGCATTTTGACACAAAACTGGAGCTGATTTTTTTATATGATGAAAACTATATGTAATCTTCTGTATTGACCAGATTCGTAATAACTGAGGGGGTGGTGATTTTTCTACATGCGAGAACTGTGACAGTCGTTGTTTGTTTTAAATCCATACCGCCTACTCAAAGCGCATTTTTGGTAAGAATGTATAGCAAAATTTAATACCTTTGAACAACCTTTACATCCTTACGGACTTGACCTTTAAAATAAAAAAAAAATACATAATTTTCTAAATTTTGATGAAGCATTAAATAACGTCAAGGTCACCCCTACTAATGTCTTCGGAACCTTTTATTTTTCGGTGTTCTGCAAATGGCTCTGACAGTGGCACTGGCGAGAGTTAGCGAGACTTCAGCGAGACAGGGTAAATTATTCACGGAAAGTGGCTAGGAAGTGACTAGCACGTGGAGATATGGTAATTGCATTATGGGTTACTATACGAATACTACAGGAATTTTACGCTTGATAAATTCGTTTATTGTACTATCGGTGAATACAATTGCCAGGTGGATTTCCTGGCCAATATACGTGATCACGATTATAGTTATGTAAAAAATGCGTTGTCCATTTAAATGCATACGAGAAGCTGCTCGTTTTCCTTACCCTATGAAGTACTGGTAATCTGAATTTGACACTACTTACCCGGTACGTATACATTTTATTAAAAATATTTTTCTCTAGTTCACAACAAATTAAAAACGCCCGAGATATTTTCCTAGTTTCTAATGTTTGCATTTTGTTCATAAGAACATTTTTTTTATTTTGCACTCCATTGACATGATCATAGATTGACCTGAACCACGTGTTTGAAGTAACATGTAGACATGTGGCGTAAACGTATACAATCAACAATTGGTCACTTGCTCATTTATAGTGTGCATTTATTTTTTTACCAGCGTATCGGTCGCTAGTGAGCTGTGATTTTTGCACTTAAGTATAAGATGTATTAATTGGTATTTACCCCCCCCCCCCTTAAGCCACCCATTTCTGTTGAAAACCATGAAAGTCTTTCAGAAAGTTGTGGAAACACATTTTTCACAGGACGTGTTTTCAGAAGAAACAGACTAGATCTATAGCAATTTCCTGTTTACTGCCAATTTTATTCATAAATCCGGATCTACCCTATAACCTTTGAATAGATAAACATTAGTAGGGGTGAAGGTGCACTGTAGTGACTTGCCAAGTGTATCAATAATTACACTGTTTCCTGAGATTAAATGAATCAATCATGATATTGCAATGCCAGTGTTGGATTAGATATATATAAATTAAAATCTTTAGATCTGATTTTTCAATGATGCCATAAACAATACAAGGTTTTCTTAAAAAACAAGACAGAATTTATACGCGTCTAGCTTTGAATATTAAAACACAAGAAAATTTAAAGCTAAGAAGCGTTATTCGCTTTCTTTTTTAGCATATTAATTTGGAATGAAACAAGGGTAAACTGTTTTTTTAATTACTAGTATACAATTATTGCTACTGTTTTAATGCATTTGAACTATTTCTCTTTGGAGATGCAGGACTCTAATTGAGGACTAATTAGGTGCCATGGCGCCTAAAAATTATGATTGGCGCCTAAAATTTTTCTTCAAGTCGCCGAATTGACTTGGTGGTCGTCAAATTGCTGAACTATAAACATTTTCAACTTTTTATAAAGAGCAGAGAAGAAGTTTAAAAGTTGGCAATGGTCATGTCTCTATATATTGACTAATATCAGTTTTAAAATTGGTGTCTAAGAAAAATTTACCTGGCAACTAATTTTTTTTATCAGAAGCCAGTGGGCGCCTAAATTTTAGAGGTCACATAGAGGCCTGAGATGTCAAAACATGTAATAATGATAATAATAATAATAATAATAATAATAACGAATGGTGATTATGTTCAGAAACCCATTTAAACAACACAAATCGGAAGCAAACCAAACACGGACTTTTAAAATTTTCAGAGGTTGGATTAGAGGTCATGAAGGAGCAAGTATCCCCTGTCAGCCAGTCACACTAATAGTGCGTTGTCGTGATCGGGTAAAGGGAGTAATCTTAGTTATAGATATGTTGATAAAGAGGCCTTACAATTTGTATTAGATATGTCAGTCCACATCCGACTTAACGATATCATCTAAATCAATATATAATATAAATATCGGCAATATGTCAAGCTCAGTTGCCCTATGATCCTGGCGTGAAATATTATTACAAAATGTATCGGCATGTATCATTTATAATATAAATTTTATTGAAAAATAAATCAAATCTAAGCAAACCAAACACGCAAAACCATTGAAACATGACAAAGAAAAGGTCAAACTTGAAAGATTCAGAATTTTTTTTACATTTCTTCGCATTATATGGTGGCTTGTAATTTGATTTTTTTTAAAAAATAATGCAAAATGAAAAACATTTCATTTATTGTTTAATTCACTTAAAAATACTTATTTCTAAAAATAAATTTTTACAAAACAGTTTTCTGGTAAACAAGAATGCTTTTCAATATAACGATATTTATAGAAATATTTTTTTTTTATTTTATCAGAAGTGTTATCACTTGAAAGTATGTTTTTATGATGAAACTCTAGATTAAATATTTTCAAATAACAATATATCTTGCAAAATTATATATCTTATATAATTATATAATATTGTTGTATTATGCATGTTAAATATTTTGACACATGGTGCACGAAGGCGAGTGCACTATTTTATTTAGGCATAGTACATGCATAATGCAACACTATTGTTATTATTATGCTGACTGTTGTTATTATTTATGCGGCAATCCATTTGACTTTTTCCTGAAAATATGCAAGAACTCATACAAAATCTTCATGCTAAAATTGGTTGCATGCTTAGTTATTTATTTTGGTTACTAGTATTTTCTCTAAATAAGTCGGGATTTTCTGTCCCAAAGCAACTCAACTTTATTTTCTGTTTTGTTAGATCTAGCAATTGTTGTTTGTTTGCAGACGTCGATTCTCATTGATAATTTTCTTTTACATCCTTCAATCAAGCGTCATATAAAAAAAACATCAGTTCATCTAACGATCTGTATGTAATTTATTGCATACATTAAATTAGGGTCCCTTATAATATAACTGTTTTCAAATAATATCAATTGTATAAATTAAGTTTATATATTTAATAAAATTATTTTATTTGTAGCGTAATCGATAAGGCATCGGACTGACAACCTCGTGGTCGTGAATTCGATCCGCGTCGTGGGCATTGAAGAAAATCAAGTGTTGCATTATGCATTTTGACACATGGTGCACGAGCCGGAGGCGAGTGCACTATGTGTCAAACCCTGCCTACTTTTAGGCATAGTACATGCATAATGCAACACTATTGTTATTATTATGCTGACTGTTGTTATTATTTATGCGGCAATCCATTTGATTTTTTCCCGAAAATAATGGTGGTAACACAGCGCTCTTGCAAAAACTCATTCAAAATCTTCATGCTAAAATTAGTTGCATGCTTAGTTATTTTGGTTATAGTATTTTCTCAAAATAACTCAATTTTCTGTCCCAAAGATACTCATCTTTATTTTCTGTTTTGTTAGTAAGACTGATTTGTTTACAGACGTGGATTCTCATTGATAATTTTCTTTTACATCCTTCAATCAAGCCCTATATAAAAAAGCGTTTTAATGACCCCATGATATCAATTCATCTAACGATCTGTATGTAATTAGTTTGAAACTGTGTTGTACACATTTATCTAAGATAGAATAAATATAACTGATTTCAAATAATAATTTTCTCCTTCTTCTGTCAATTGTATAAATTAAGTTTATATATTTAATAAAATTCTCCTAATCAGTGATCGTCTCTGTGGCGTAATCGATTAGGCATCGAACTGGCAACCTCATGGTCGTGAGTTCGATTCCCGGTGTGTGCATTGTAGAATTTTTTTCAGAAAATAAGGCCGTGCACTATTTCGGCATAGTATGCTTACGCTATATAAATCCTTAGACCACTATGCGAGAATAGTAGGGTATGGGTTATATAGAGACACACTGACAGGAAGCATAATAATTTGGCATAGTATGTTTACGCTATATAAATCCTTAGACTACTATGCGAGAATAGTAGGGTATGGGTTATATGGAGACAAACTGACATGAAGCATAATAATTAACTTTCAGTTGAGGTATGTTTAAACATCTGCTACATGTGCATCCTTCAATTCATATTGAATAATATTACACAAACTTAATATCATATTTTACCTTCAGGCATCTAATCATATAATTTATTAAATAAATGTAATCTAAATTAATAAATTAAATGAAAATCAGCTAAAATCTGCCGGCAGGGCTCTGAGTGCTGGTATATCGTTTTGTTAGAGAAAATGAGACAAATGTTTCACAATAGTTAAGGTAGATTTCGAGCAATAAATGACTTCCGTCTGTGCTTGTTATGTGAATATCGTATAGTTCTCGACCAGTAACTATACCACAATCATCACATAAAGCGCCATTCGTGTATCAAATTGCAGAGCTTTATTATGTTGATGGTCAACAAAAAAAAGTAATATTATCTGCAGTCATCAGTGCTATCTTTTCTGAATTAATACAAAGTATTTTATATTATGTCTTAACTATTTTCAATACTTCAGCATAGAGTTAAATCGAGTTTAGTGGTCATGAAGAAAGCCAACATACTTGAACACTTAATTTTGTCAATTGTAGTTTGGATCTGGACATATAAATTTCAGATTTTTTTTTTTTTTTTGCATTTTATTCTGAAATAAGAGGTCGAAATTTTGATCGAAGGATGACGGTTGATACGTAACCATCACTTATACACGTATTTTTATTTTTTTATTATCATTTTGAGGTTATGATTAAATTACTTTGACAAAAATGAAAATGTTTTCTATTTTTATATTGCAATGCTTATAGTCGATAATTTAATATGAATCTTAGTCATTATTTTAAAAGGGCATAAGTTAACTTCACTTACCAAATTGAAAAAAAAAACCTTCTACTATCGATTACCTTAATGAAATATATTTGCATATGGAGACAAAGCTCAAAAGTCTATTAAACAATACAGATCAGGAGCAGAGAAAACACAGAGCTCTAAAACAGCAGAGGTGGGATTATTTAACCTTTTATTGATGAGTAAGCAGATATACATATTAATGGAGGACAAACTGAACTTCAAGAGTTTTTTTTTTTTGTTGCTTTGATTTTTACTTAATGTTACTAATACATTATAAGTAACAAACCAAAAACATTTACAAATAATTTAATTTTAGTTGTAACACGTCCTTTGATTGGATGAAAGATTTTTTAAAATTTATATTGAATAACATAACTTGCCTACGTCACAATGCGTTTTATTAACGCCTTTTAAATTTCCAAAATTTTTCCAAAATTTCCTTTGACTTCATTAGTGTTCACATATGATTATCATTACTTTTTGAATATTATATTATACAGTACTCCTGAAATTCATACTCCATTCAAAATCCTGTTAATATTTTATCGATAAGTAAAGAAAGAAACAAGGTAGAACATTTACAGGAAACCATTATGTATCTCTGTAATTATTGTTATGAAATTTAGAAATTTAGTATTAGTATGGTAATTCAAATTCATTGCAGCCCGGAGGACCGGGCTGCTCTATACATTTAAGTTTAAGTATAGGTGTATGGGATTGAGGTGAGAAAAGTCATTCCGAGTTCAAGGTTATCTAAACATTAAAAAGATTTTACATCAGAAGTTCTTTTCCTTTATAAATTATGAGATGCTCAATACATTCACTTCCGTGAAGTGAATATTGGCATGAAACAAGTCACCAAAAATACGACACAATGACAACTGTTGCAGGGGTGGATTATATAGGATATGGAATGATGGAATATTAACCAACTCCTGGCTAAGGTTTCATATATATTTAATATCATAGATGTTCAGGAAATAAATGGCCCTATAAAATAAAACAATAACAATGAATATCACATGAAATAATAACAAATGTATACATTCTATTTCACTTATCCTGATGTTATTTTTAATAACTTCAGCTGAAGTTAAAACTAAAGTTGTTAACCATGTCATAAATTATTTAACATTTGCTGTCATGTACATATACATGAATTTTAATGCCAAATAAGTACCCAAATGTTCAAAAGATGTAACAGAAAAATGAATACACTGTATAAATTATAATTAAACTCTCCACCCCGACCCCACCCCAGCCCTTCGCTCGTCCCAGCTCTTCTTAAAAATGTCAAATTCAAGATAATTGTTTCTTCTTAGGAAAAAATAATGAATTTTTGGTTATGAATAAAAGGTTTTAATTTCCTGTGATCTTTTTTGACAGAACTTCCTTGATGTATAGATCGACTCCATTTCCTGGTTTTATTTCGTAGCAAGACCATTTAAATATTTTTTTCTTTCTTATCATTATACATGCATAATTATGACAAAATATAAATCTAGCAGTTAAGAGTTATCTACCTTAATTCAAATATCTAGCATACAAATAAATCACTGTACAGTTAATCTTTCCACACATATTTTACAATCACAGCTTTTACAATCACATTTCAATTAATGTAATGATATGTTATTATTACTTTAAAACAGACAAAAGGTAACATATTCTAATTACCTATGGGACAAGGCCCATTCCATAAAACACCAAAAACAACTGGATGTTTCAGCTTTACATATCTATTAACAAATAATGTAAACTGTACTATACATACTATGATACTCATAATTCAAAATAAATATATATTCTGAGATGCGATACTGAAGATTTAGTTTTTATTCATTATTTAAACTTTCACTCTTCCTTCAAACAGGTATATTAGCTAAATAGAAATATTATTAAAATATAGAATATTAATAAAGTAAATACTTAAGGTCAGGTCTGGTCTATAGGTCTCAAATCTTTGTCTAGAAAATTTTCTAAATTAAATGCACAGCCAACCTGGCAAAAATCTCTGAGTAGTCTACCTGAGAACAACTCAGAACCACCAATAAAATGACAGAACCCCAATACTACAAGCTTTGAACTCTATCGCTCACCAAGTAAATAAATTTTGTATTAAACTATTAAATCTTCTTTAATTTCATTTATATCAATAATATTTATTCAATATTGTATGATATTTAAATTGTATACCTGTCAGTTAAAACACACTGCTACACAACCACCATGTATGTTTGCTAAACATGTTATTATAACGACTGTAGAATTTACGAAATGTTGACTTTAAACGTAATTGTTGAATAATTGATTTATTGATTGTATGTTGTTTAACGTCACTTTTAAGAATTTTTCACTCATATGGAGACGCCACCACTTGGCGGTGGAGAGCTACATATTTTGTCCTATACTCGGCACTCAGGGCCATTTGTGAGGGATCTTTTTCATGCAAGCACCTACTGCAACACGGGACCCCGGTTTATACGGTCTCATCCGAAGATCCATTCTCCACGTCCTACATTGGGATTTGAACCCTCGACGTAAGGATCAACTCCTTACTTCGCGACTATAGAGCAGATGCACTAACCACTGGAGTCATGCGGGCGAATATGATTATTGATATATCATCCTAGTAATATCAACTTATGAGTGAGTAGCCTGTCTTGATTTAAAAATTGATCATAATCAGAGCATGCTCCTGAGTAGCGAATTAAATGGGAGGCATAAACGTCATATATGGATGATATCAGAATATTTTACAAAAATATTCTTTGACGATGGAAAAGCTGAAGCCATCACAGTTGTCACACCATTTTGATGTAATTTGTCCTGTGTTGTCGATAACCACTGATACAACAAAATACGAAGCAGATGTGCAAGACTCTATGGTTTTATATTTCAAATTCACTGGGATGAATCGAGTCGACCTAAAAATGGAAATTACTCGTTGATAAAAAACTATCGATACATCTGAATGTCAAATTGAAATTTTTTCTTCTTCTCGTGTAGATGTTTTCAATAAACTCTGCTTCATAGGAAAATAAACAAGAGGCCCATGGGCCACATCGCTCACCCGAGCATTGTGGCTAGGAAAAAGTAGTAATTGGTTTACTATTGAAAAGTTTGAATCCAAAAGTTTGGCCCCGCCCTACCCCCGGGGGTCATGATTTGAAAAAACTTGAATCTACACTACCTTAGGATGCTTCCAAATAAATATGAGCAATTATGGCTTTGCTGTTCTTGAGAAGAAGATTTTTAAAGAATTTTCCTATATATTTCTATATAAAACTTTGGTCGGCCATTGTGGCCCCGCCCTACCCCCGGGGGTCACGATTTGAACAAATTTGAATCTACACTACCTGGGGATGCTTCCATATAAATATGAGCAATTATGGCTTTGGTGTTCTCAAGAAGAAGATTTATAAAGAATTTACCTAGATATTTCTATATAAAACTTTGGTCAGCCATTGTGGCCTCGCCCTACCCTCGGGGGTCATGATTTGAACAAATTTGAATCTACACTACCTGGGGATGCTTCCATATAAATATGAGCAATTATGGCTTTGCTGTTTTTGAGAAGAAGATTTTTAAAGAATTTTCCTATATATTTCTATATAAAACTTTGGTCGGCCATTGTGGCCCCGCCCTACCCCCGGGGGTCATGATTTAAACAAACTTGAATCTACACTACCTGGGGATGCTTCCATACAAATATGAGCAATTCTGGCTCCGCTGTTCTTGAGAAGAAGATTTTTAAAGAATTTTCCTATACATTTCTATATAAAACTTTGGTCGGCCATTGTGGCCCCGCCCTACCCCCGGGGGACATGATTTGAACAAACTTGAATCTACACTACCTGAGGATGTTTCCCCATAAGTTTCAACTTTCCTGGCACAGTGGTTCTTAAGAAGAAGATTTTTAAAACGTACCACCAAATTTTCACTAATTCTCAATTATCTCCCCTTGAATAAGGGCATGGCCCTTTATTTGAACAAACTTGAATCCCCTTCACCCAAGGATGCCTTGTGGCAAGTTTGGTCGAAATTGGCACAGCGGTTCTTGAGAAGAAGTCGAAAATGTGAAAAGTTTACGGACAGACAGACAGACGGACGCCGGACAAAATGTGATCAGAAAAGCTCACTTGAGCCTTCGGCTCAGGTGAGCTAAAAAGGTTTGGCTAAAAAAGAAGCACAATAAGTGCCCTTCGGGATTCAATAGTTTGTTAAAGACTTGATTTTCGAAGACCTGTATCTGTTTTCTGTTTCGCAAATCTTAAATTCACAGTCGAATGTTATCTGAAATGATTATAAATATTAGCTTTTTCAGTCCTACATAGTATATTTAAATTACCCCCCCCCCCCACCTCCCTAAAAAAATCAGCTAACAACAATAACAACAACAACTAGAATAAACAGTCTAAGATGTTAGATTTTTTTTATTTATTCATTAAAGCTTTTGTGATTGGTGCTGCTAAAAATAACCTCCAAAGGCAAATAGTAAGGCACCGTTGAAGATTTCTATTACAACTTGCTATACAAGAGTAGCTGGGCGGTTTGCAGGATCTTAAACATTTGGAAAAGTTCTCTTTACAGGTCCTTACACACTCCGTGTAAGAAGTGCTCTGGGAGGTGGTGGTAGCAGCGAAGCAGACAAAGATTAGAAAAATCAATACTCTCATCCTGGATAAATAGCTGTAAAATACAAACAAAAATTCATTGTAAGAAAGGGATTTACGGGGGATGTTAAGAAATTTTACAGACCATGAAACATATGGAGATTAATCTTCGTTACTTGAAATACATGGTTATTGAGATAACAAACAATATTTAAGCTCAAAAGTCCATAAAGCAATACAAAAAAGGAGAAGAGCAAACACGGACCTCCAAAAATCAGAGGTTGGATCAGGTGCCTTGTAGGAGTGAGCATCCCCTGCCAACAGGTCACACCAGCCGTGTGCTCCTTGTCAAGATCGAAAAATAACGGGAAAATTCTCAATTCAGTGTGTAAATAATGGACTAACAATTGATATGAAAAACGTCAGTCAGCATTTGTCTCAATGATAAATTGTATTTAGTGACAAAGTCATTGTATCGACCATAAAACCTACGAAATGATGGCTTTAAACGACTGATTGTACTCTTTCAAGAAATTGAAAATGAAAACTTTATCATATGCAAAAAATAAATTGTTATTGTGTAAAACTCCATTTCATGTTATTTGATACAAGTAATGTTACTTAATTTTAACATTCACTGTTTTGGCACCACATAATAAAATTGTAATGATAAATGCAGTGCCTGCTGTCAAATCTTTTTGTGATTATTCATAACATTTTTTTTTATCAAATAACAAAATTGTTACGTTAAAAACATAACATGACATTCTCATTTTTTTAAATGAAATACTTCCCGCTTCTTTTAGCTTAAGCTTACAGAATTTATTTTATTGTTCTACACAGTACAGTTAAACATTTTTTTTTCATTACGTTCTACAACATCATTCTTGTCAGTTTTTAAAGAGGACTACCTTTGTTCTGAATTTGATTTTTTTCAACGAAGAAAAATTAAGGCATAATTTGATATTTCAATTTGTCTCATTTATTTTCTTCATTATTTTATCAAGGAAAAAAGTGTCAATCACTCTGGAGTTGATATTAAACGCATGCTGGATTTCTTTATTGACATCATTTTTGTAAGTCTTCGGAAACCAGGTTCTTTATTTATTGGTATTCCAATGGGTACTTATTGTGCGCTCTGTCATTGACAGATCTGCTTTGGCATTCATATGAAGCAGAATGTATTCGAAAACTTTTACATGAGAAGAAGTGAACACTTGCTACGACCTTAATATTTTCATTTCAATATATCGACAAGGTATTATCAATTAACAAAAGTGACTTCCATTTCAACTCGATAGGTCCCAGTGAACTTGAAAAGAAAGACACCACAAAGTATGCTACATTTAAATTTCTAAACTTTTTAAGTTGATACAGAAACCTGTAGATTGTGACTTACTTTGCTCTCATTGTTAAAAGTAACCAGAAATAAAACAATTCCTGGTCTATAGCACCAATTTATACAAAACTAGTAGGTTTTTATCCTTTTTTATTCTGACATGTGATCCTTATTTACGAACCTTTTTTTTGTATTCGATAGCTTGACATATGTTTTTACGACGTTTTAATTTATCACATACCGGATATACCTAGTGATATTAAATTTGATGGTGCTCAGAGGGTGTTCATAGTCCCAGATATAAAAGTACTTTTTATTGGCTATCTTACCATAATGTTGCCTTTCCAATTATACTTGGTATGTAGGACTGTCAGTGACCTATAAACCCCAATTGGGCACCACCCTCAAATCAAGATATCCCTACATAAGTACTATTTATGGACTCAGTCCCCTTACCTGCACCACAGGAGTTCTAGCCTTGAGCTCTTCTTTAACTAGGTCAAGAATCTTTATGCTAACTTTGTATTTTTGTTCAAATTTAATCACTTAGTATTGATGAACATAATTGGTCTATTCTGATTGTTCCATTATAAAAAAAAAATCTAAAAATTACAGTGCATTGTACCAACATCAAAATCCTATCTGTTTTAAAAAGATATTAAATGAAATACAGTCCCTTTTCCAATTTTAAAGTCACTACATGTGGTACACAATTATTGTCCATCCTTGTTTAATAAACTTTATTTTATTTTACTGCCATTAATAAGTCCACTTTTAATTGTTTAAACGTTTGTAATATGAATATAACCTCCAAGTATAAAATTTTCAAATAAAAAGGCCGTTCTGTGAGTTAACAATAAATCTCTTGGGTTTTCCTCGGTATATAAGGGTATTTTTAATTTTTAAAATAGAATAAAGAATGAAACAGAAGGTAAAGTAGTCATAAAACAAATGTAAGACCAAGAAATAATTCTTGTTAAATAAATATAATTCATATCATGTATTTTGATTGCGTATTAAAAGACAAGTCAATTTAAAGTACTTTAGGAGTACTTTAAAACAATATGATTTAAATGCTGGCTGACGTTTTTATACTAATTGTTAGTCCATTATTTATACACTGAATTGACGAAGAATATTTCCGTTATATTAAACGATCGTGACAAGGAGCACACGGCGGATGTGACCGGTTGGCAGGGGATGCCACTCCTCCATGGCACCTGATCCCACCTCTGATTTTTTGGAGGTCCGTGTTGGCTCTGCTACTATTTTGTATTGTTTTATGGGCTCTGATACTGAATACTGTACGTTATCTCCATATCCTTCATTACCATCGTTAACCGAGTTCTATTGGAATGTAACAGATGTATACACCTTTTAAAATAATGATATAATTTTTGAATATTTTTGTTTCTAAAATGTCGAAATACTACTTAGAAACAGGTGCTGCACAATAAAACACGATAGAATTATCATGAATAATCGATGATGGTAAAACGAGAATGTATAACTGAAGTGTAGAATGAACAGTGCCTAGGATAAAGTTTTGCCAATTAACTCGCCAGGTTGTGTTGTTTTTTATTCAAATTTTTAATAATATAAATCATATACTCAGTTTTGATGCACGAAATTTAATTTTCACAACTTAGGTCTCTTCATCATGCCTTTAATTATGATCATGCCGAAACTCTGGAAATCCAAAACATTTTAATGAAATAAGGACAGCTGCATATTTGGAGAGCTCTGCTTTTAAAACAAATTCTTACTGAGTTAAAATACAGTGTATCTTCTGTGACAAAAAACAGTACTTATTCATTAAACATATTACTCAGCATTTTAATATTTAATAATGCTGCATTATCTGTATTGTAGTGAATTGAATTAAAACATGCATTTCGTATTTTTTTTTTAATCTTAATGCTTTCTTTGGTTGTTAGAAAAAAAATCATTACCCGCTTAAGCTTACTATTACACTGTCTGTAAATATTTCATATGTACCCGAAATGGGTTTTGTTTAAGGAAAAGCTGTATTATTTTTCGATTTCATGATGTGATCAATCGATTGGCTTGCCTGATAATTTACATAAACGCCGAGCCAATCGTCATGAAATAAAAAAAAAATAAGACAGTTATTCTCTATATTCATATACTCTTGATTCCGCCAATCCACGTGCTACAAACCTTGCTTCTGTCTAGCTATTTGTCCCACCCTGCTTGTGATTTTTTTTAAACCGCGCCTATTGATGATTCAGTGCATTAACTATTTGTACATGTACTTTTGTCTCGGACAAAGACATTGAAAATGTAAATATTTTCGAATGTAGCTCCTGCCTCTGATCCTCGTTAATTTCATCTTATTAATCGTCCCCCGCTTTTGCGAAAGTGGAAAGACATTAAATCCCATTCGTCTGTTCGTCGGTCAGTCTGTCAGTCTGCCCGTCTGTCCCCAAACATTTAACTTTGGTCATAACTTTTAATGAGAATAGGTATGACTTTCATGTTTCACGTGTGTATTACCTGTGGCGAAACCTTTCCGAATACACCATGATTTTTTTTACCCCGTGACCTTGAAGCTTGACCTAACTTTCAAAATTGTTATCTTTCCTTGTTATTTTTGATTGAGAAGAAATACGGCTTTTACAGTTAACAAGATATTTCCGAGCAAGCTATGATTTTTGTTACCCTGACTTTCACCTTCATTTTTAACCTTATTAAAAAAAATTGATAGATTTGGTGATTACTTTTGAATAACATATGATAGGGCTTTCATAAATAATGACGCCCCGGTCATAATTTCCATCAACTATGACATCGAAAGCGGGGGGCCATAATTCTTTCAATTTGCATGTTAAACTTGTAAAAATATTTTCGAGAGATGGCAATGACGTGCAAGCTTTCAAATGTAAAGACAAATTGCTTGAAAGCGTGTTTTACAATCAATTAGTATAATCTTTCTTTATTGTAATTCCACCCTCCTATGATGTCATAGGTTTTTGCAAAAACTGTAATTATTTTAAATTCATACCTAATATAACAATATCTCTTGGAAGAATGATTTACAATAGGTGTAATGATAAATATTGTAAAGTTAAAGAATTTTAAAAATGCATATTTTCTGTATTTAATCAATTATTCAATCTTTAAAAAATGTTGACAAGGGCAATAACTCCTTCTAAGGTCTCTTCATTTCAGGCATTTGCTTTATTATAAAATAGTTTCCCTAATATTTACAATTCAAAAGTACGAGGGTTGTCCCAAAAAGTCGTACACAGGGAAAACAGTTTTGTTTCTCTTTGCTTTATTAAATTTCTTTCGTTGTCATAGCAAAGAGTAACATTTTATGATCATGCACTTCATGTTTCACGATGAAATCACTTATAAGAAAGTTATGAAAAAATAAAGAAAGAATATTAGTGTACACCGGCGCACGAAAGCAAGCGTAAATTACGTCTCTTATAACGTCATGATCTATTTGTCTGCTTCACTCGCGGGTACTGTACAATGTATTAACATTCAATATTTTTTTAAGTGATAGACCAGTCTTGATTAAGGGACATATTTAAATTCACTACTGTCCGTTTGTTTTCTTTATACTTGTTCTTTTTTAAAGCAGATTCAAATTTCAGTCAAAATTTAGTCGAAAGATCGTCTTACATTGTAGGCAGCAGAGAATACAAATTGTTTTACGTCGTTCGCGGTCCAGATTGTGACCAATTGTCTGCGTTTATCAAACAGTACTCTACTTCTTACATGCCGTATTTAACTATTTTCGGTACAGAAGAAAAACTCATTTAATATCGTGCAATTTAAAAATAATTTCTTTATTAAAATCTGTTGTGTAAGGTCACTTCTGTACTCTTTTTTCCCGTCTCAGATGTATATTAACTATATCCAATACAATTTATTACATCTCTGTGCGCCGACCACGCGTTTGACGACGTCATTTTCATCATACTCAAATTCAACGATACTATAAAAATCTTGACACCAAGCGTCTGTTTCTAATGATATTTAAATAAAATTTTGACATAATATTAAGATTTTTATTCTGGTTTCAGTGATTTAAATTTGAGTTCAATGTATTTCATAGTACTAAAGAAATTAAAGCAAATGTAGTAGTTATATGCGTAAATAATTCCGAATTTTGTGCCGACAGGTCTTATCGGCCTTCATATAAATCGTCCTAATATTATTTATATGAAAGATATGCATTTAAAAATTCACAAATTTAAAGAACATTGACTATATTTGGTAAGTATTGGTTGCGTGTTTCAAAAATTATACACATTGTCTACGACTTTTTGAGAAACCTTCGTATCTTTTAAGTAGGAAGTATTTAGGAACACTAAGCATCAGAATTATGCATTTTAACCAGTTTTTACATATTTTTCATAATACTGTTTACAAAAAATGTGCGATTTTTTATGTTGACATACACTTTTATTTATTTATGTTTCGCATCTTAAATAATATGGTGACCTATACATTTTTTGCAATATCTCGAAAGTTTAAAGTATATTAAATGAAAATAATATTGTAAAGATGACTTTTTTTTGAAAGATGACTCACTAGATAAAAAAATAGGATTCCGCATCTGCCGCTGCTTAATTAAGATATTATTACATAGTAAAACACAATCTCGACATTTATCTATATATTTTATGGTCTTGTGTGTCACGGATATGCCATAAGATTATTATAAATATGCTGGGTAAAAATGCGTGTTAACATAGGAGCGCGTAATTCTTAAGGATTAATTTAAGGTAAGCTATTTATTCAGGTATAAATTTTTGAGTCTGTGACCTTGAAGCGAAGCCTACTTAAACAATTTAAATATAATTTTAAATGGACATAACTTTTGAATGATACAAGATAGGGTTTTCATATAATAATGATATTAAACAAGTATAAGAGGGGTGATCAAAAAGTTCACGAGCTCTGTGTATCTCTACAAACGTAACATTATATAAATATTGCATTTAGTTGAGTGTAACATTGAAAATTTTCACCCCAAGAAAACCATTGTCAACCGAGGGGCAGCCGAGATTGACAATGGTTTTCGAGGGGTGAAAATTTTCAATGTTACACTCAACTATATGCAATATTTATTATATTATACTGAATGTTTTATACAAATACATATATAACAATATTTACATTCGCTGTGTTTTTCTACTAAGCCAACTGTGAAATTGATTTGAAAGTCATTTTTGTGTAAACTCACGCGTAGAAATATATAGGAAAAAACGTGCGTTAACGTGACGTCACAATGAGGCTTCAGCGACGTTAATAAAAATGCAGCGATATAGGGCAGCGAGAAATTTAAATATAGAGTATATTTTAGTTGCTTCTGAACATGTAAAATGTAAATATAAGGAATGTTTTTCAGTTTAGTGTGAATTATTGGTGTGTGAATCACACAAACTTGCATGTAGGCATGTTTTTCATGAAGCGCGCTAGCGCGCTTCATGAAATATGCCTACGTGACAAGTCTGTGTGATTCACACACCAATAACTCACACAAAACTCTAAAACATTCCTTAAGTGAACCGTGCGTGCATAAATTCTGCGCAGTCGCTATTTTTTGGAATATCACCTGTCGTCAAGCAATGTTGACTGTTGCTACGCTGGAGGGCGTGGCTTCATTATTCAGCGGGTAATAGTGTTTTTTGCAAATTTTTCTCTACCATTCAGATTCAACTAATTTACATGAAAATTTAATATCTTGAATTGCTACACAACGTTGTAACGTCAAAAAGATGTCTAAATAGATCGTTTATGATGTGCAGTGTCTATACAATAGTAATACTTAATGAATAACCATCTTCTTTTTTTGATTTTATGATGATGATCAATTGCTTGCGTAATTGCTTGCGTAATAATTTGCATAAACGCCTTCGGCGTTGATGCATAAAATTATCACGCAAGCCAATCGATTATTCATCATTGAAAAATCGAAACAAGCCAATCGATTATAAAATCATCATTGAAAAATCGAAAAATAAGACAGTTATTCCTTATATTTACATGGTATTGATTCCGCCAAACCACGTGCTACAAGCCCCGCTTCTTGTCACTATTTGTCCCGCCCTGCACGTGATTTTTTTTAACTGCGCCTATCAATGAACCAGTATATTGATTAAAATAGAAATAAAGTACATGTACATTAACTATTTATAATTCTATCTGGAGCAAAGACATTGGAAATGTAAATATATAATTATACGTTCATAAAAGTTATTTTTAACATCTTTTTTTTTTATTTACGAATCGATGCATTTATATCGAAAATGCAGATTCATGAGTTTCCAAGTCATACTTGAACCGTATCTTACTTTATTAATGATTATAAATCAACGTGTAAATATTCACCATACAATTCTATATTTGTTGCAGGTACATGTAATTTACATTGTACTTGTCTACTTGTCTTTATAGTTGATCAATCACTTAAGAATAAATTAAAAACCCAAGCCGTTCATTGGTTGGACCCATTAGTCGTATACGATTTGTAGTACAGAACAGGAACATGCCCTACCCGACATACTGTCAGATACGACTTCAGAAAGTCGTATAATACAAGTAATAACGAATTTCACACAGTAATAGTTTGCTGTTTACGACAACTTGTATACGACTCGTAATACCGTGTAAAGCCGCCTTAACCAGGTAGGTCTAACTGATTAATTAATTGACGATGTTTGTACAATTTATACAAATTAATTGAGATTTACCCGTATGATTCCAATTGATGATTGCTCTAAAAGTGCTCAAAATACCAACAGTACACTAATTATATAGCCTCCAGGGAGTTAGCTTAATATTGTAATTAGCAATACTTTTACACATACGATGTTGAAAATTCATACGAGCCGTATTATAAATTATGTGAAATTATACGCGTATTATTTTTACGGATCTATAAAACTCGTAAAAATTAGCAGCAAGTAAAAAATACCCGTTATACGCGTACGGTATGTGTATATTTATATATGTGTGTATATTTTTTAAAAGAGAATAATGAATCACTTTAAGGTAACAGTATAAATTAATACTGTGGACAGAACCTTGGTTAAATTTTTTTTTCATTAGAACAATTCATTGTGACGGTTTATTTGTTTTCTGTCATGGTGTTTTTTCTATGAGGTCAAGATATGAAACTCTTCAATTGCATATAGATTAAAAATTATAACTACATTTGTATATTTCATGATGATCATTCGGGAAAAAATCAACAGAAAAGACAGTTTAAGGAAAGAGAGACGTACTGATAGACAATTAACACGTGAAATTGAAGGGTACAAAAATTGGTATAGATGAATAAACATTCATAGGAAATTCACATTGTTTCCGAATCGTGCATTATAAGAACGTCAGACGTCATTTTAGCCAGCTAGTGGACACTTCCGCAAGACATTCTGACTATTTATAATTTTGATTTTAACTTATAAAATCAAAAGAGACCTACATGTACCTAGAGTGATTTTTAAGTACTTTCCACTAATATAAATTTTCATAATTTTTCTGTCTTCAATTCGGAATAAATCAATAAGCTATCAACAAATACATTTTTAATATGACGTCATGTACGCATCGTTGCCGATGAGAGGGCTACCTGATATAATTTTCAATACTGAAACCGAATATCGGTTTTTTAATTGAAATTATTTAATCAGAATTTTTGCGGTGCCAGACAACTCGACGAAAGACAGGTCACCGACAAAATTGAAATTCACCGACTCTTGCAAATTCGCCGAATGGACAATTCACCGACAATATTGTCGGTGACTAGAAATTCATGTAATAATTGTTAGATGTTCTGTGAAGTATTCAGATATAATAAACATAATCAAAGATGTATAAAAATACATGTTTTTCTTTGTCTTTTTTGTATATCCATAATTGTTGGTCTAGCGCATACAGATTGCTTCTCGTGATTCCGAGCAAGGTCATAGGTCAGCAATATTGGGTGAAGATTTTCATTAATGAAAAAAAAAAGATTTGAAATGAATAAAAACGTTTATTCACATACATGAATTTTCTCTAAATATTTGTTAAATTTCCATGTTTTATATATTCGGTCGACGATGTGTCTGTCGATGACCCTTCTTTCTGAATTTTTGATCACTTCTCGTATCACCAGTGACAAGACATTTCTAAATACCAATGATGATAGACCTCGTGACTTTGATGTTTGACCCACTTTTCAAAAACTTTAACTTTGTTCATGATTTTTAAACGGGCGTTCAAACTGAATCTGTGTATTGCCTGTGACGAGACTTTTCTAGAAATATTATGATTTTTTATCATGTGACCTTGACCTTGAAGTTTGACATACTTGTTATAAACGTTTACTTTTCCTTTTAACTTATGATCAGGAAAAGATAGGACCTTCAGATTTGACCCTGACCTTCAAGATTGACTTAATTTTCAATAAATTCTACTTTCAAATTTGGTCATTTGAAACTCTTGGTGTGATAACTTCTGAATGACATATGATGGGACATTCATACTTGACACAATATGCCGTAAATAATGACATTTCACCAACAAAGACCCCGAAAGCGGGGACCACTATTCTTTGAATTTGCTTGTAATCAATTAAGACCTACTGTTAACCATCATTTTAAGAGAAATAATTTTTTATTGCAGCACGTTTGTGGTTCAGAATGAGGATCCTATTGCTGTTTATTTTGTTTCTCTGTCTTCAGGAGAACATGTGCAGTGGAGCTTGTCCTCCTTGCTCGGATACTTACACTTCCTGTGTGACGGGTTGTCTAGGACGCAGCAGCATGTACACATGTATCGACAGCTGCATCCGGGCATTGAGGACATGCATTAGCAACTGTGTGGGATAAAACATGCTTCTATGCCTTGATTTGCCTTTATTTGTTATGGCCAGGAGTGTAAAGCCTAGATAAATAATAAAACATTTTCAAACTTTTGCATTTGAATATCTAACAGAACTTGAAATTTAAACTCTGCGACATTAATTAAGATTTATATTTTAGAAAAGATGATTGGCATGTTTTTCTTCCATTTTATTATCTTATTTTTCTGTTAAATATCACAATGTAGAGTGCTGCCATTCTAATAATACACTACAGTGGTTCAAAGAAAGCTTGATTTGCGATGGTTGCATTTCATGTCCGACATTTTATAAAGCAATCATCTTTTCATTACCGACAATTTATAGTTTAAATTTATGATATTTGTAATATAAAACAGAATTAAAGACTTCTATAATAAAGATTCTTAAAGAACGAATTATTGATAATGAGACATATGGAAATAGAAAACAGTATTCAAGATCAAAAGTTCATAAAACAACACAAAATAGGAACAGAGCAAACACGAACCTCAAAAACATCAGACTTCTGGTCAGGTGTCATGGAGAAGTGAGAATTCACTGCCGACAGGTCACACCCGCCTCGACGCCCATAAAGAATTGTCATGATTGGGAAATAACGGAAAAATCCCATTTCTATTCAGTGTATAAATAATGGACAAATAATTCGTATGAAAAAACGTCAATCAGCATTTGACTCATTGATAAATTGTATTTGCTGACAAAGTCATTTTATCGACCATATGACTTCAGAAATGATTACTTTAAACAACACTGCTGAAATTGTTGTTTCATCAACTTGTTTATCAATAATTTACCTCTTTTTAGAAAGTACTTATACGTAGAGCATGCTCTTGCATTTCGAATCAACTGAGATATATAACCTCAGAAATTCCAGCATCTTTTCGATGTCAACTTCAGAGGATTTCTGTGTACAATCAAGAATGTTTTTTATCAAAATAATTTTGCAAATGACCAATGACAAGATAATTAAATTTTCGATTTCCATTTTTATTGAAAAAGCAGCTGTCAATGATATCAAAAAGCATTGACTTTAATTCATCGGGGGATGGTTGTACATAAAGTTAAAAAGTCGTAAGTTTTTAAACTGTTGATTTTGGTAAAATTTTGTGATTTCAAATTGTCCAAAAGTTCCTAAGATCTAATAAGTATCCACATCTGATTTACATCACGTCTTGAATATACTGTAGTCATTTGTTATATTGTTGCATAGTACTCTTGAACTTTCCCCTTTACTACTATTGAGGAGTAAAGAAAGAGGCTTGGTTGAACATTAACTTGAACCGGGTATGTATCTTTTATGTAAGGATTTCTATGAAGTTTAGGAATTCGAATGTGGATATGGTAGTTCAAATTAATTTTTGTTCTTTGTGATATTAAAATTATTCAAAATTGACATATGATTTTCGAGAAGTTCTTCGTTAGAAGCCAAGGGAACTATTAGCATAAGTTGGATTTCCACTTGTAGAATTAAAACCAAGTTAATTTAAAATACAATTAATATAATGAGCTTTAGAAACAATGACACTGTTGTTACCTGCTTTTTCGGCAGGAACTAGTATGTACTGATCATGTAATCTTTTTAATTCTTGTTTCACTTCTGGATTGTCGAACACAGAAGGATATAATGGTTTTCATATTGACTAGCAATTTTTATACGCGATTGTAACAAAGATCTGATATATTTAATCCATTCTGACAAAGCGTCAACGTCTTCTTTTTCATAGCTGGTCCATCATCTGGAATAATCTTCGACAGAATCCATAATATTTATGAAACTCCGACGCCAATTGAAGAATCGGAGTTCCCTTTATATTTAGGATCTTTCAAATCCAAGGACCTCATTTTTAACTATTTTACGTCATCTGTAATAACGTGTCCAGCAAGACTTTAGTTATATGGTGAAAAAGCACATGAGAATTTTTAACCCCTTGGCACATGTAAATGTTTTGATATTTAGCTCTCTCCTTTTCAAATATGTTTAGTTTGAGATAAGATGAAACTTATACGGCATACAGAAAATAGTCGAGGGAATAAAACCATCACCGTTAATAAAGTGCTGTTTTGGGGTGCAGTCGATGACATATAATTTAGTAGACATTAAAATTCGGTAATCAGAAATTGAATGCTCATTTAACTTCTGCAAATATTTTAGATGGAATTTGTACTGCATGTGTGTCCAGTGTGTTGTAAATTACTTTGGGTCAAATACAGAATAAGACAAATTATTATACCTCATTATAAATATTCTACACAACGCGTTACCTGATTGGTTCTAGGTTATCACGCGATCGGGCCGTAAAACTTCATATTTCACGTTTTTCATCATATTCCACCTCTTCGGAATACCTAGTGTATTTTCCCGCCATTATAGTTCTCGTTCGTTGAAGGAAAACTCCCGAGAGTAGTAGACGTCACAATAGCCTGGTTAACGTCACAAAACTTTAGGTTAACAATGAAAGTGGATTTGAGAGCGGTGCCGAATTTGATAGTTTATGTTTATTTCAAAGGTTTTGCTTGTTTCGGTATAATTAATATAGAATTTTTGTGTTATTTTTCCATTTTTTATGTAAATTGAGTACAAATTCAATATCTATTGATTTTCTATGTGTTATTCATATATCAAGTGCAAGGTTGTATTTGAAATTACTTAGCGTTTATTACTGAGAGATTGTAAAGATATTCCGTAAATGTTATTTACAAATTGTGTATTTGGACCAGGCGATTGAGCAATAAAGTTAAGCACTATCAATAGATCAAATAATTCGTGTAAGTGGTCAGTGTTCTCTAGAAGTAACAATGTTGATTTTGGTCAAAGTTAATGACTTTGAACGCATCCTAAATTGATTTTATGAAATACGGAATTCTAAATTTGGCAAAAGTAAAACTTCAATTAGTATTAAGGAACACTGATCACATGCTGACCACATGCGGTCATGTCACATGGGTACCGAAAAAGTTAACAAGTTGCAGAATTGTCATGGAAACCGGTTCTGGGGTATATAATGGCCGTGCGCGCCCTGACAACCTGCGGTTTCTCCAAAATAAATCTATAATAGCTTACAACTTGTTTTCTTTTAAGGTACGTACATGTAAATTCAATCATCCTTATGTTTATAATATTCATGTTTATATACTTTGAAAGTTAACGCAACTGAAATGTAATATGTTGATAAAAATGAAATGTTATTAATAATTTGTTTCTTTTTCAGAGTGTTTTGTAAAATTAATAATTTTATTGATATGAGTTGCGGTTTCTCCAAAATAAATCTATAATAGCTTACAACTTGTTTTCTTTTAAGACCGATATCATCAGAGGTTGAAAACAAGTGTTGCCATCCCTCACAAGCCAAGCGGGAATCAGGCTCAAACAAAAATATATAAAAAAACAACTACAATATAATAAACAATTCATTGCATGAATGTTCGGGAAACATGAAGTATATAAAACCAGAAACCCTCGGGGAATATGATTTTTCTTGGCTGAATAAGTCTTCATATTTCCCTCACTATCATGCAATAAATGTATAATATTCCTTTTTGTACAATTTGACTGAATTGGCTTAAACGTACGAGTATGAACTTATTATGCAAAACTTCGATTAAAGGTTAACACATCTTACACGTCAACCAGTCTATCTGTCCATTAACCCACCGGCGTCTCAAAAGGAACGCTAAACAACAAACAGTCCATCATCTGTAATGTATATAAAATCTCATAAATTATGTCCTCCTGGGCATCCAAATATGCACATTCGATATATGTTCCTACAGCTGCGGGCACAAGTGAACCATCTTCTGATGCCGTCAGAGTAGTCACATTTTCCAAAACAATCATTAGGGTCTTCCGTCTCCAATAGAAGACCCTTCTATTATTCTATTGTTTCTTTTTCACTTTTATTCTTAAGGTCTTCCGTTTCCAACGGAAGACCTTCCTGTTATTCTTCGGTTTCTTTTTCCCTATTCTTACCGATTTTGTGCACGCGATTTCTCGAAAACGACTGGATCGATTCTCATGAAACTTTGACATCTGATTGGTACTGATCTGAACGTTATTGGGACTTTTTTTGCTAATGACGTCACTTCCGGTCGTGAGATTTCGACAATTTCCTTATTTTAAAATGTAATTTTGTCTGAACTTAGTAGCGAAAACTGCTTAAGATATGAACTGGAGACTTATTGGAGATGATAGTTCATGACTTATAGGTTTGCAGAATCACCTTTCCGTGTGTCATCTATACTTCCAGTCGCTACCGGAGGTGATATTAAAAACCCAATTTTTCAACTTTTCTTTTTTAATATCTTTATTATTGAATTGGATAAAGGGCACTTTTGTAGAAGCGAAATATGTAATTTGTTTGAAAATCGAATAAGCCAATCTCGAGATATTTGCATTTGAAAATTTGAAGCGGTGATCCCAATGGCTAAATGGTTAGTGCGTTGGATTGTCACGCGGGCAATCCGGGTTCGATCCCACTTATGTCAAAAAAAAATTATCACTTTTTCTGCTCGATCTTTCGTCATTTTTTAATTTTAGACGATTTGCAACTATGTATTTGTTATATGTAGTTTTTATCATATCTTGTGTAATTAGGGGTCACAAGGGGCCAGAATGCTAAATCTTTGACGCTTCGTATCTTGAAAAGAGGGAATATTTTGATAAGCAATATTAAACAAAAGATGGTCAGAATAATGTTCTAAACAATATGCATACTTTGAATTTTTGTAAAACGGCCCCTTTAAGGACTTGGAGCGATGGACCCTAAATATTTCCATTCAGCATATCTCCACAACGAAAAGAAATCTCTGAATAAGTGTTGAACAAGAAATCTTCAAAATGACAAGATATTTCATTTGATATCAAGAAAAAGGGGCTGACTCCTCAAATTAGGGGCTCAGAGGGGCCAAAAGTCTTTCTTCTATAACTCTATAATGATCAATATTTTGTTATGCATTACTGAAGCAAAAGTATTCCTCTTAACGATTTGTAACAATATATGATTAAATTTGGATCATATGCTACGTAAGTAGGGCTGACAAGGGGCCAGAATGTCAAATCTTTGACGCTTTATATC